GAACGATTCCCGGACTGAGTGTACACACGATTCCCGGATTGGGTAACCCCTCGCCCACTCCACTGTGCAGCTAGAGCGCGCTACGATACGATCCGCCCGAGGGGTGACCCACTGTAAAATTTTGCGTACAATGATTGTGTGAATGTGCAAGAATGTGCAAGAATGTGCAAGATTTCTCGCGTTTTTTCCGCACATGTTGCCTACTTACAGGCGTTTTTGCCACCTGAATGTGGAATACGGTCAAATTTTGTCAAACGAATGTGGGAAGCTGTTCGCCCCTGCTTTTCCTGGTGGCGTACCTGGATGGCCGGCAGCAGCGGGTAGTCGCCGAAGCTGCTGCTGAGGAAGACGTCCGTGTCGGTCTCGAAGAGGCGGTCCACCGAGGTGTTCATCAGCTTGTTGTTCTTGTGGCCCGTCAGGTGGAACGAGGCGAACGACGACCTGGACATGGCGTCGCGGGCGGCCAGCCCCGCGCCCAGGCCGATGTCGCCGGTCGAGAGGGTCATGAGGGCGGAGCTGACGCGGCCGAGCCCCGCGCTGGACAGCGGCAGGCCGGGCAGCAGCGAGCGGGTCATCATGTCGGCGGCGCTGCGCGGCCTGCTCAGCGGCATGGCGGAGTGCGGGAACATCTTGGGCTTGATGGGCGTCACCAGCATGTGCTCCGTCCACGACGTCTCCAGCGACGGCCGCTCCAGCCGCTCCACGTCCACGTTGAGCGCGCGCTGCTCGAAGGGCACGGCGAACGTGTCGGGCGGGATGCTCTGCAGCCACGACAGCAGGCTCAGGTCCGAGTCGCTGAACCCCGCCGAGCCGTCCAGCAGCCGGCCGAAGTTCATCTCCTGCAAGGGGGAAGCGAGCGTTAGGGTTAGGAGGTGCACAGTTTTCCCCAGGGCCAAGGTGGAAGCCCGAGAAAAAATTTGGACACGTTTTTTTGCAAAGGTGCTAAATTTGGGAAAATTTTTTCATCTTTTGGGCCCTTTTTTGGGAAGCTTTGGTAAAAGGCTTTGCTTTGCAAAAATTTTTGGGGAAAACCCCCTTTTAAGCCACAAAATTTGGCAAGTTTTTGGCCCCGGAAATACCAAACCCCCCTTGGCCCCCCAAGGGTTTGGGGCCCTTGGGAGGGTTTTCCACCAAGGGCTTGGGAAAAATTTTTTTCCCCCTCCAAAAAACGGTTTCAAATTTGTTCAGAAACGCCAAACTGGCTTTGCTGAAACCCCGATTTTTCCCGAAAAAGGATTTTCCCCCCCTTGGGTCACACGCCGGTTTAGCCGACCCTGGTGCTCAAAACGCTAGTACCGGTGGTCAATATTGGCAATATTTCAAAAACCGTTTCGACCTCGGAACAGACCCATCATTCAGGCTCGACCCCACAACCTGGTCCGAAGTTTACAGCTATGGCATCCACCAATATCACCCATTGTCAACGATTGTCAAGAATTCTACCCATACACGAAAGCGCCAAAACGCGACTGCACGGACGGGATTCGAACCCGCGGACCAACCTGAGATCGCGGTTCCTGGGACCCGGTGGCCTTGCCCTGGCAGTAGGCCACGCACGACTCGTACAGCACGCCCTTGATGAGCAGCTGCACCAGGCGGTCGTTCTTGGCGCACTTGCTGGGCGGGTTGGCATCGGGGGGCTTCTTCTCGCCGGGGAGAAATTTTTCCACCAGCGGGAACACCTCCTGCGACAGAAAACTCCCAAATTAGAGAACAAAATCCACCCGACTCAGTACGGGCCTCACTTACACTGCAGTAAACCCACTGATAACACTCTAGCCTTGCCACTCCATCATTGTATTTGCGGATTACAGTACGTGCGCGTACGAAAAATGGGCCAGAAGACCGTCGCGGGCGGCCGAAGCTCTAGAAACGTTTAGAGCTCCAGAATCGCTAAACAGGACTCGAACCGGGCGTGTGACCCCACCAATGGATTCCTCGTTCGGAGAGCAATCCATGGTGGTGGGGTCACACGTTCAGTTCGAGTCCCATTTGGCGACTCTGGAGCTCAAAACGCGTCCGCCATTTTGACCACCTCCACTGGTCCTCTGGCCCACTGCGCACCGGCGCGGCAAGCAAACTTACTACTGGTTTTGCGGTGTACCGTACGCGCGCACGCCCACTCACCTGGAAGCACTGCACGCGGGCGTTGCTGGGGTTCCAGTCGCGGTACTGCAGGTGGTCGGTGAGGCGGGGCAGGGTGAGCAGCAGGCACAGCTGCGAGTACTCGTCCTTGCAGGGCGCGTACTTCTCCAGCTCCTTCATCACCTTGACCACCTCGTCCACGGCCGAGTCCATGCCCGTCGACAGCCCCATGGCGCCCGCCAGCCCCGCCTCGTTCTTGATGCACAGCAGCTCCACGTACTTGTGGCGCAGCACGGCGTACTGCGGGGACAAGCGAGCGAGCGAATATTAAACGCAAGTTTAAGCAACGAAAGTCCATGTTTATGACGGGGTTTCCACATCACAGTGCAAGAAAACTTGTGAGTAGTACCGTAAGTCCGTAGGCACAAATCTGGCAATAGTTTTATTTTATTTTTTTATTTTATTTATTGGTAACTTGGCTGCCAAGAGAGCAAAGCTCTAATAAGGGCGGTACAGTAAGGAGCAAAGATGGTACGGTTAGGAGCAGTTAGGTTAATCCAATAAAGAACACTATTACACCAAGTACGTGGTGACAAGATTTTTAAAAGTAAGCGCATTCTTAGAATTTTTGATATTATCTGGTATGGACAATAAAAATGCACAAGCATTAAGTATACGCTGTGCTTCGCACGGCGGGCCAGAAGACCGGTGGAGGTGGCCAAAATCCCGGACGCGTTTTGAGCTCCAGAGTCGCTAAACAGGACTCGGACCGAACGTGTGACCCCACCATATGGATTCCTCGTTCGGAGAGCAATCCATTGGAGGGGTCACACGTTCGGTTCGAGTCCTATTTAGCGTCTCTGGAGCTCAAAACGCGCCCGGGACTTTGGCCGCCTCCACCGGTCTTCTGACCCACTGTGCGTCGCGGTCGCGGTGCGTGGCTCACCTTGAAGCGGCGCATGTCGAAGGAGGGCAGCGCCTCGAGGGGCTGGATGAACTCGAGGACGTCATCCCACTGGCCGTCCAGGACGAGCTGCCGCAGGAACACCACGTCGTCCGAGTACTCGCCGTTGATGACGCCCGTCTCGCGCTCCACGCTCAGCTGGGAGATGTGCAGCTGCCGGTTCTGGAGGAACTCGAGGGCCAGGCGCACCACGTCCTCCTCGCGCAGCGTCAGGTGCGCCGCCGGCATCACGTAGCGCACCACCAGCCTGCGGGCAGAGGGCGGCCGGCTTTCAAGTTTCAGCACTAAATGTTTTCTCACACGGAAGTAAATGGCGCAGGCTTCGGCGCAAGTACACTGTGGAAATTTGAGTCGTCACTTGATGACAATTTCAAGGCTAATTTTCCTTACAAGGATGTCATCAGGTCAATTAATGATATTGTTGTCACGCCCATGCAATAAGTATAGGAGCTTTGATGAAAATGTCATCAACTTGCGACAGGATTGTCATCAATGTGATGAAAATGTCATCCACGTTTTTGTCATAAAGTGACAACAAATTTTCACAGTGTACACGCCACTGTTTAAAAAAATGGTTGTACAGAAACAATCAAATGCACTCCCAATCCTACTGAGCTTTTTCTTCGTAATACGAACAAAAAGCTTAGTATTATGACAGCACAGCGAAGGTAGTAACCTATGGTGAAGAGTTCTCAGTAACTTATGACCACTTTCTTCATATTACGAACAAATTTCTATTTATTATGACAGATTTGTGTCGTAAAGTACTGAGAATGAGCTTAGTATTATGACTGCAGGGCATTTCTCAGAAGGAAATTGGGAGTGTGAGTGAAAATTCAGTTGTTCCAAAACATGGGATGTCATCCTGAACCAAAGCGAAACAAATGTCGTTGAATCTTGAAAGCGACAATTTGTCATAGAAGAACAGAATTCTTATCACCATTAACGATACAATTTGTGCGCAACCAACATCTTTTGCCACTATCTGCTCAAATAAAATAAATGATCTATCACCTATTTTGTTCTTCAAAGTCATAAGCAAATTACTATGATTAAAAGTATAGACATGAAAAATAAATTTAGCCACAAAAGTACTCAATCGATATTTGTCGCAGACATTACAAAATCCTTATTGACTTACAATACTTGTCGTTGACTAACAACATTTGTTGTTGCTTAACGACTTGTTTTTGAAGGTGGACTGTTTTTGTGTTAGAACAAGTTTGTCGTTGTGAAATCATCCTTTAGTTCCAATACGACTATGGTTTAACAAAGCTATTCATTCCAAAACAAATTTTGTCGCTAAAAAAAATTAGCAATAAATGTGTTGCTAAGTTTTGACAAAAATTTTATCAGTGCGGTGGACTGATTCCTAAAGCCGTTTTCGACTCTCTATCTCTCTCCCACTTTTACGGACGCTCCATGAGTGCGAGAGTGACAGAGCGACGAAAACGACTCTCGGAATCAGCCAGCAAGCGTGACATTAAGCTAAGAGACCGCTTCCTCGGAACGCGAATGAATCGACGCCAGGACCACGAACTCGTTCTTCGCACAACTTTGTAGTAAAAGTCGAGTGCAGTAAAATCAATGAGGGCGATCATGCCAGCAATTGGCCCCCAGGAAATAAAACATCCAACGTGCCCGGCTGCGGTGAGTCGCGCGCACCGCTCCGTCTCTCTCACATCGCAAGGACCGCGCGCTTTGTCTCCCTCGTACCGCAAGCACCGCGATCTTCCTCTCTCTCGCACCGCAAGGACCGCAAGCTTGGAGCGCGCCGGTCGCATACAGAAGCTCGACCGACAATCAACTCGTCACCCGCCAGTAGGCTGATTCCCGGCAATGCCTCGTCGCGCCATCTCCCTCGCACCCGTGCGGGACGCACCATGAGTGCGAGCGAGAGGGACAGAGCGACGCGAGCGACGAAACCACTGTCCAGCAGACTGATTCCGAGACTCGTTTTCGTCGCGCTGTCTCGCTCGCACCCATATGGAACGCCCCATGAGTGCGAGAGAGACAGAGCGACGACTCTCGGAATCAGTCTGCTGGCAGACGACGCGGCGACAAGGGCTATCGATCAGCGCGGCGGCGGCAGATGTGCTTGACTTGCCGAGAGACAAAGGACAAATTGTCCGACTGGCTCGTCGTCCTTTTGGAGTCCTCAGGCTTAGGCTGCAGCGGCCGCTGTCCGTGCTGCCCCTGCCTGCCCCTCGGTGCGCGGCGAGCGGGGACCTCGTCAGCGACCGCAACGCGGCCGGCCGGCGCCAAAGTATGCACCATTCCGCCAGCCGGACTTGCTGGAGCGTCGCTGGAGTGCAGTTGGAGAGCCTAGCTGGAGAGTCTAGTTGGAGGACCTTGCTAGGGATACTTGCTGGGGAGTCTCCCTGGAGAGCCTTCCTGAAGATGAAAATATACTTGCTGGAGTGCCTCCCTGGACAGCCTTCCTGGAGAGCCGTCCTGGAGAGCCTCCATGGACAGCGCTCCTAGAGAGCCTCCCTGGAGAGCCCTCCTGGAGAGCCCTCCTGGAGAGCCCTCCTGGAGAGCCCTCCTGGAGAGCCCTCCTGGAGAGCCCTCCTGGAGAGCCCTCCTTGAGAGCCCTCCTGGAGAGCCCTCCTGGAGAGTCCTCCTTGAAGAGCATCCCTGAAGAGCCTCCCCCAAAGAGCCTTGCGGCACAGCCTTACTGAGGCCTTGCGCCTTACTGCACAGCATTTTACGGACATCTTTTTGGGTGACATCCTTAATACATTGCTGGCGGCCTAACCTGAGGAGGTAGGCAGGCCTGAACGCCTCGCTACCTGACCTGCACTGAAAGGTAGGCAGTGCCGTCGAGCAGCGCGTTCGGCGGGTCGGCCTACCCTGCACCTGCAGGCTGAAAGGTAGGCAGTGCCGTCGAGCAAGCGCGTTCGGCGGGTCGGCCTACCCTGCACCCTGCAGGCTGAAAGGTAGGCAGTGCCGTCGAGCAAGCGCGTTCGGCGGGTCGGCCTACCCTGCACCCTGCAGGCTGAAAGGTAGGCAGTGCCGTCGAGCAAGCGCGTTCGGCGGGTCGGCCTACCCTGCACCCTGCAGGCTGAAAGGTAGGCAGTGCCGTCGAGCAAGCGCGTTCGGCGGGTCGGCCTACCCTGCACCCTGCAGGCGCTCACACTAGCCAATTCACCACACGGACAGTCTCCCATCAAGTCTGCAGGAGGCGCCTTTGGGTGCATTGCCGCTACGCCGCCCGGGTTGTGGGTTGAAGCGGTGCCGGGACGCACCGTGGCGGGGCGGGGGGCGGGGTGGGGCGGGGTGGGGTGGGGCGGGGCGGGGGAATCTTTAGAGGCGCCGTTTGGATGCATTTCCTGGGTACGTGGCGCGGCGCGGCGGGAGGGTTCCGCTCGCTGCCTCCTCAAAACTCCAACGCAGCGCTGCACCGCTCCGTTACACTCGCGAAAATCTTGCCACTTGGCACCTGCGGGAAACGGGGAAACGCCCTCTGCCGCGGAAAACCATCCCGCGCGCCATTTTCTCATTTTCTCCCCGGCCGGCCGGAAGACGCATGTTCTGTTCACCAACACGCGTTGGTCTTGTCGACAGAATTTCCGAGGCCAATTTCGACCAGTCACGCGGTGCACGCCCGGGCAGGCCGGGCAAATTGGCCTAGCCGGGCCGGGGCGGGCCGGGGCGGGCCGGGGCAGGGCGCTACCATCAGATCGGGCAGCAGTCTGTCTCTCTCGCACCCTTACGGAGCGCCCCGCGAGTGAGAGCGAGACAGAGCGACGACCGGGGCACTGTTCGGTTCGGAAATGAGTCGGCGGGTAACGCGAGAGCCGCCACCAGCAGACTGATTGCGCGAGTCGTTTTCGTCTCTCTCGCACTCACGGGGCGTCCCGCATGGGTGCGAGAGAGACAGAGCGACGAAAACGACTCTCGGAATCAGTCTGCTGGGGCGCTCCGCTCCGGAGAGGCTGCTGTTCTGAGGCATTTCGAGCTAATTAACAGAGGAATCGCCGATGGTAATCTGGGCAGCCAGGCGCGCGGCATAACGGAAGCCAAACACTGCGTTGACCCAGGTGCGGATCCAGGGGAGGCCATGGGGGCGTCGCTTCCCCTTCGAATCAACACTCCAATTCAATTGAGGACCAGAAGTCTCAAGCTGTGGACCACCTTTTGGTGCACGTTTCGAAGCCGTGGACCACATTTCGTCCACGCTCCCAACAAACAAATCTATTCCACGATGGATGACCAAAATATTGACGTGGCGACCCAAACGTGATCCACACTTGGGTTGTTGTAGTAGTGTAGGCAACAAGTCACACTCTGCCCCTACAGGCAGGCAGGCAAACAACTTTAGTCACCGCCACCCCTTCCCCCCTCTTGCTCTTGGACCCGCCTTTGCATCCGCCCCTGCGATGCCCGCGGCCCTGTTGCCACCACTGCTAGGTATTGTGCCTGTGCCCCAACAATATCGTTTCCCAGCCACGCCACGCCGCGCCGAGTCGAAATCGAAATCCCTCGCGACCGCATTATTACCCCCACTTTCACTCTCGGGCCCCGCGTTGACATTCGTCTCATTTCGCAGTGGGCAAACCTGCAGGACTTCCCTGCCCTGTCAGGCAGATTCAGTCCAAAGATTGACGTCAAATCAGCCTAGAGTAGAGAAAATCACTGTCATTCAAACTGCAATCTTACCCTTTGTCCATGTTTTGCAATAAAAAAATTACATAGCAAAATTTTGCGGTGGATGTGCTACAAATTTGCATGGATGCCAACAGAGAAAATAAAATAAAAATTACAGGAAAAATTCCCAATGAATTTAACAATTCAGGCTCTTTTGTCGCGAAAATTAAATGGCAGTTCAGCAAAATGTTGCAGTAACTTGATTACTGCACCGGTGCACGGCAGGGTGCGATAAATCGTGAGACTCTCAAACTCTGTTCACTGCAAAAACAATTGCAGTAAAAGTACCGCAAAATTAATAGCAGTGTGTGTCTTACTTTTCTATGTATGTTTAAAACTCAAGGCATCATCTGCTTAAAAAATGTCAATAACGTGCTGGGATGCTTTCACTGCAATTACCAAGCCATTTTTCTCCGCGTGCGTCAGTGTGACAGCTCGCCGCGCCGCCGGCCTCGGCTTTGACCTGCCTTCGTCGCTCTGTCTCCCTCACACGCTCACGACCAGCCCCAGCCCCATGAGTGCAACAGAGAGAAGAAACCGAGGGGTTACCCACTCCGGGAATCATGTGTACACTCAGTCCGGGAATCGTTCGTAAAT